AACTATATAATGCCTTCTCTTTCTTTATTGATGTTCCAAATCGTCTTATCGTAGTATATCTAATGTGTAAGTACTTAATGTTATTTACATTCAGAGAATTTCGACTGTTAAAAAAAGAAAAGTATGTAATAACATAAACAAGCTGAGGCTTGATAGTCACGTTGTGAATTCGGAACTAATAGTCTAGCGTCAACTGGTAGTTTCGTCAAGGAGCACATAGATGGCGCTGTTATAATTTTACGAAATAAACATCTCATACTTTTATATAACGAAAAATTATTTACTATGTGCTAATAAATAAAAAAATAAACAAAATATTGACGAGATATAACGACCATAAATAAATTCAACGTAACTTGTAATCATTATATCCACATAATCATTGTTTCCACTGCATCCCGTGTAACTATTTTTACATTGCACAATTTGACATAAGAGCAATATCACTTTAATATTAAAGTCGCGTCATAGTACGAACTGAGCGAATGAATAGTCACAAACCTGCCAATAAAACATCATAGTTTTAACATTATAATAACTTACTTTAAGCGCGTTATGGTACGAAAAGTCAATGTAAGGTTAAAGTAACATTGTCATATGAGGTTGTGGTAGGCCACTTGATTGTTTAAATTGCCCTATAAGCAACCGGGCAAAAAACCCTAAAACTACAAAAAATAAACATGGCGAAGTGTTCATAGGAGGCATATGGGAGGTATCGAAATTAAGACGGTTCGGGAATCCAATATGGCCGTTCAATAAGGATAATTTCTAAGTTTTCAAAAGCCACTCGTTATTGAACTACCGACGTCCGTGAAATGCAATCATAGCTTTTGCAAGCAAATGGTTCAAGGACGTACGAGATATTAAGTGTCCAATTAGTTCGAAACGTAAACAAAACAGAGTATGTATTCAAGTAAAAACAAATTCTACGGTGACCTGTTTTTTGTACATGATAAAACTTTTTAATTAGAAGTTTGAAAAAGTTAGCAAAATTGTTTACACAATATTTTTCAAACATACTCCGAAATGTTCTGTTTTCTTTTGAACAAAACAAAAAACAGTCAGTTATAAATAGCGCCTAAATTTTCCTTAATGAGCAATTATTTTAATGGTTGCTTTTGCTATTCTTCAATTCAAGGCGTTTTTCTCTCTCAATACACTTTGAGTAGTGAGAACCGATTTTTATTATCTCCTGTATCAAGTTCTGTGTAGTGGCGAACTAGGGGATATTCCAATAAAACTATGCAATTCCACATATTTTTGAGGTAGGTTTTTTTAGTACTCTGTACTGATTTTTTGTAGTCATGTTAATAATGCGGTTGAATGTGTATTCATTACTGTATTTTCGTTATCGCTCTTCTCACTAGAACTCATTTTCGCGACAATTTTTGTATTTTACAATATAATATTAAAGTACTTTAGTTTATATTACCGCCTTTTTCAGGAAGCGGTACAGGTAGGTAATTTTATTTCTCGCAATTACATACATAGTCCGCTGTTAGTAGATAGATTTAAAAGTGTAGAGCAGCGGACATGGATTTTTCATACTTTTGCAGGCCTTGACCGGGATGAAGTCGCACGGTCCTTATATGACACATAACATTTCCGAGCTTGTTTGAGAAATAGTATACAATTGCACAGGCCGGGAAGTAAAGTTTCGCCGGATCATCGTTCTCGCCGAGTTATGTATACTTAAATCGAGTTTGTATTATAACAACTTGTAACTTTAGAGCCGTACCGAAGAACGAAAATACAAGTAAAGATTATATTAGTTTTCATATCCCCGTGTACTCTTCGTTGTAGCCTTTTTAAGTATACGTTTTTACTCGGATTTATTACACTAAAACATTCTCACAATTATAATTTTCACTTACAGTTACACTTACATACATTACCAAATCTGCACATGCACTTACATATTGAATAGGTTGCTTTAGATGCACACTTTATTACATTTATTACATTAAAGACAAATTTCCATCGTAGTCGTCTATTAAATCTTTAATTACAAATAAGTTCTAGATTTAGTACCTCTCGTTGGTTCTGACTGAAAATCGGCGCCTCAAGGAACAGAGGCATTATGCTGAGTCAACGCTATTTCACTGCTATGACGACAAATGTTTTATTTTGTATTTATGTTGTGTTCAATCCGTATTTGTATCATACTAGTGAATAAAGTGTTTATCTATCTATCTAAAGGATGTAAAATAGAAAATGTAAAACAACTTTATCATGACAAATTTTGCTCCTTTCAACACGGCACGGCTCTAAAGTAGAAATTAATATTACAAGTTGTTATAATGAAAACTATATTTAAGTATATAACTTGCTATATACTCTGTCAAGGTCCATGTGGTTCTATTATTTACTTGTAACAATTGTATTTATACCATGGTTGCAGTAAATTATGCTAGTATTCTATTTTAATCTAAAAATATTTGTCTAATTTCCTTGTATTCGTAGGGAAAAATCTCCTTTCACTTCAATAGCTCGGGGAGGCTTTCTTTCTCATTAGAAATCTGCGCGCAAAACATTGACTTACAACTAAATGGACGACGGGTCTAATACAAAAACCACGAAAAAAATGTCCCAAGTCAACCTATTTAAACGTAGTGACATGTAAAGGAATATGAAAAAGCTAAAATGTCATCACAGTACTGTCTAATTTTGCTTGCTTCGCTGTCAGTCGAACAAACGAATACTAGAGCGTGAATGACGCTCTGTATACGATTTTAACGCCCTATAAGTTCGGACACTTTTTAGCGCGGACCCGACGTCCATGTAATTGTAAGTCAATGGCGCAAAAGCGTTTTTTGCACGCTAGCGTGGAAAAGGTTTCTTAAATTCGAACTTGACGATGGAATGTGGTGAATAAAAATTGATGAAGTGTAAATTCGGAACGCATCCGAAATTAAACTTTTTCTTTTAATTAAAAAACTGATGTTTTATAGTTCAACTGTACTCGTAAAACCAAGGAAAAGAAAATGGCGGGTTTTAATAGTTACATTTTTTACACGATTTAATTTTTAGTTTATGTATATTACGTTGTGCGTTTCTTGATTATTTATTACCATTAAGCAGATAGCTCTGAAGCCAATGCTTTATAAAAAAATAAATAAAATAATAGTTCAACTGTTTTTCTTTCATCTACTATTTCCTCAATTTGCCTCACTTAGCGTGTGCAGGCTAGGTTTCTATGCGTTATTATTCTAAGTTTGCAGCCTAGTATAAGAAATAACTATTGTAAGATTCGGTGAAAACAGTAGCCAGTGGCCAGATTCCGACCTGAACGCCGCTTCCAAATAATATTTTATTACAATACCAAAGAAAATAGAAAGTTTTTTCATGTAGATAGATTCAGTAAGGACGTTTTTAGCACGTTTTTTTTAAATACATAAAATTAGCATCCGCATCAGCATCCGCTGATGTGTACAAAAACTGGCATCGACAGCCCTGGTTAGTAGTTCTAAAAGTTTGAAGCAGCGGACAGAAACGGACTTCCATACGTACTTTCCTGGCCTAGGCCGTAAAGAGTTGCATGGTCCATAAACGACGAACTGTGTGTTTTTCCTGAACGTAATTACAATTTTGATTTCCGAACATGTTTGAGAGCACGTAATTAAACTTCGAGCTCAAATGCACATCACTGCCATAAGTCCATAAACAAGTGTCCATTACGTGTATTAAAATTATTCCAAATACATTCGGCATCACGGAATCTTGAATAAAAAATTTTAAGTGTTTCTAATAAGTATTTGTCATGAAGGTATGTAGTTAATTTGAAAACATTGACTTACAAATAAATGGACGACGGGTCTAATACAAAAACCACGAAAAAAATGTCCCAAGTCAACCTATTCGAAATTTAAATTGTTATGTCATCGCAGTATCGCGCTGTCCGTAGAACAAATGAAGACTAAAGCGGAGTGTCGCGCTCTGTATACGATTTTAGCGCCTTACAAGTGCGGACACTTTTTAGCGCGGACCCGACGTCCATACAATTGTAAGTCAATGTTTGAAAAGGGCAATTCATTATTTCATTTATTCATTTTGAATGCACTGTCACGCAATTTTTAAGTTATAGTTGAGTCGGGTCATTTGGGCGACAAGGTTGTGGTATAAAAGTTTATATGCTTTGAAAAGTGTAATGTTAAAATACTGACGTATTGTGTTTTTGAGGTTTTAATAGTTGCACAGGGCATAAATTTAATCGACCAAGGGCTGTCACAACGTGAAGTGTCTATCATACTAAACGTGACACGTTCTTCAATGCAGTATGCCTTAAAACGATACAAGACAGGCCACTGTACTGGCAGTGGTGATGTTAGATACACCTCGGCCCGGAATGACCGTTTCATTGTTCTGGAAACTTTGAGAAACCTTACCGCTGTAGAAATCCGCAATCGGCTTCAAAATCGCGAGACAAGTATATGTTAGCGAGTGTACCGTGAGAAGACGTGTAGAAGAAGTTAATTTCAAAGCTAGTAAGCCAGCAAGAGATCCAGAACTGCTCAGACAGCCCCGAGTAGCCCGACTTCGGTTTGCACGGGATCATGCTAAGTGGACACATGAGCAATGTGCTAGAGTTCCGTTTACAGATGAATGCAGAATAGCTTTACAAGGAGATAATTAGATTCTTTTTAAATTTTTAATTAACGTGTTAGGACATTAAGCGCCCAGTTTAAGGACACGACGTGAAAGTCCGCCCAGTTGCCGCGCTTACACGTACATCACGTACAAGCCAGACTCGCTCGCACGCCCGGGATGCTCATTTACGTTAAAACGTAAATGCTAAATAAATAAAGCGTATTTTGCCATGACAGTTAGATGTACGCGGTCTCCGCGCGGTGTCGAATAAACGCGCCGTAACGGATTCACATTTTAAATTCAACGCTGTACCCAAATCACAGGATGAGAGTGTCAAAACGTTTGAAAATAATTGTTAAATGAAAAAAAAAATCAGTGCGGAGAGATGTAGTGGTTATGAATGCAATGCTTACCCTGATGGTGTTAAATAGTAGAGCAGGAAGCACAACACAGCGCATTGTACTTGGGCGCTGGCCATTATACGGCTGCAACGAAAAAAAATACAAGTTAATAAAAATTGTTCACACTCTCTTGTAGATTCAAACATACCAATAACGCGTACTCTTAGAGTGATTACACACGGCGACTTGTAGCGGTGACGCAAACGCGCCAATGATTCGATACAATCGCCTTTAAATTCACACAAATCTGACTGACTGAACGTGACACAAATATCGCAATCGATATCTTTTCAAACTCCCATTTTTGTATGTTGTAAATAATAGACATTACATTGCATATGCTTATCACTGCATATATGTATCAAATGAATTATTTAAGTATTTTATAAATATAAGAGAACACACCATACTACATTACAGAAATATATACGTAATTTATTTTAGTTTAAACGCGACACACACGTCCGGTACTCACTCGGTTTTAGGGTCCACTGAAAATCAGCGTCACAGCCTTGTCCCGGCGGTGACATTAGCTGAGTGGATCCTGTTACATACGCCACAGCCGCACACATGACATCTACTTAGTACAACAATAGTGTTGACCAGCTTTGTGGTCGCATAATTATTTATTGCTAAGATTTTATTTTTAATTAATTTTATTTAGTTTTCTTTTTTGTTATTCATTTTCTGTTTGTTTTAATTTAGTTCTTTTTTATTTTTTTATTTTTTACTGATTTTATTCTGTTGTGGTGTTATGTAATAAATGTATTCTATTCTATAAATTCCATGTGTAGCGATGCAATTGCGCATTTGTTAAAATCGCGCCTTTGTGTAAAGGTAAACGATTAGCGAATGCATCGCGTTTGGCATCACTACTAAAGGCCGCCGTGTGTATCCGCTCTTAATATTATTCCTTGTGGTGGCAGGCGCAATGTCGCATGCCTAACACTTTTAAGTGCTTTGATACAGTAAAAATTTAAACTGAAATACAAGTGCTATACTAAAAGAGATATAAGTGTAGATTATTAAAGACAATAGTCAACCGAAGGGCAAAGATGTTTGGGCATCTGATACGACACGACTTTTTATTAGAAGCTATTGTTTATATTATTATATATATTCTATATACAGAAGGAAAAAGAGGCAGGGGAAAGACTAGACGAAGACATTTAGATGAAATAGGAGAAAAAGGTTATATCAGGATCTCAAAGTTACATGGTCGATAATTATTCCACTGATGAAGACTGAAATAATAAATTTGTGTTGCGTAAATGGATGGATGGATATTATACTACTCATCATAGAGCATTTGTCTTTTTGTCTTTAGTGAGTCTTGTTTTTTCCTCCGTGGATCTGTGGTAATAATACTACAATAACAATGATAATGTTATCCCTATTGTTCTATGCTCAACAGGCGTTATTCCTAATCATCTCCATAGCCTGAAATTATAAGATTTTAAAGAAGAATTGAGATGAACTTGTAAAACGCTGTAATTTTAAATACATGCCGAATTAAATTTGTATTGAATTGATACACAATTGTTTTTTGTGAAATTACTCCACTAGTTTGTTATAATTATTAATACGTGTGGTTCACTATAAGTTTCCGAAGTGAATAGGAAATAAATACTATAATGGTCAGAAATGAATTTATTGTTTCTCAAAATATTCTCCATTAGCGTTAATGTAAGTACATTAACGCTAATTAAATTTCATACGAATGAACCAATTTTGAAACATTTATGCCACTCCTCCGTGACAATCTCTGAAACATATTATTCGTACTCTTCGACTGCCTTCAGGAGAATCAGCGATCTGGAAATCGTTGACCGCGTAACTGGTTCTTAATTTTTGGAAAAAAATAAATGTCGCAAGGTGCCAGGTCGGGACTGCACGCAGAATGGCTCATAGGTGAACGTTGTTCATCTTCAAAAGTTCATTTGTCTGTCTGGCCGAGTGAGAACTGACATTGTCGTGGTGCAAAATGATACGGCGTTTACGGTTATTATAACTTCCAGCAAACAAATGGTCCTGTACCAATCACTATTCACGGTACAACGATTCTCCAAAGAAACAGTAGCCACGTCTTTGCACGCGCGCCACTTTGGTTGGTTTCGGCTTATCTTGAAAGACTCATACGCTCGATTGCTGCTTTGTTTTGGGATCGTAACTATAAATCCATGTTTCGTCACCTGTTACTATGTCCCACACCAAATTTGACTCCCCTTCGTTGAATCTGGTAAGCATGGCTTTGCACCAAGTGACGCGATCCGTTTTTTGAGCCTCAGTCAAATTGTGTGGGATCCACCGAGAGCACAGCCTTTTCACACCCAAATGTCTGTGTAGTATGGATTGTATTTGACTAATCCCTATGCCTAAAGATGAAGAGAGAGAAAGAATTTCATGGTATGTCACATGCCTGTCTGTTTTGATCATACGGTACACAACATCGATGTTTTTGTTGTTCGCTTCACAGCAGTGCACGGGTGATCATCACGAAATTCGTCACTGAGATTCACACGACCGCGTTTGAATTCTGGAAACCGGCTATAAATAGTCGTCTTGCATGGTGCTTCATCGTCAAAATCAGTATGAAGCCGAGCGAAGCTCCGCTGAGCTGTTAGATTACACTTAAAGTCGTAGAAAACATACTACGAAAAGTTTCACGAGTTAAATCCATGGTGATGTAGACGACCAATTTCAAAAATGACACCACAATGTGAAAACAGTGACAAGTGACAGTCAGATGAAGCAAACTGTATTCTACAGCCAAAGAGCTCCATTTTAAAATGTTGCAATTACTTTTTAAATATTGTTTATGTGAGGGGCCAGTTCCGTAAACTTATAGTGCGTCCTATGTACAAAGAAACAACTAAAACTAAAACTAAAAAAAACGAACACTTAGAAAAATGCTTATTTGGCATAGCGTCTGGCACGGTTCGCTAGAAGACGTCTGTTCGAATCCAGCCGATTCCAGACAGAATCGGAACAAACGCTTACTGAACTTACTGAACGCTTTCCCGTGAAAATCGCAATACATTAATGCACTCATTAGTGGCATTACTTCCATGGACGAACTCATTCACAAGAAGTTCTACTGCTGCTAAAATAAGGCTGCGAATCCACCCCAAATAAATAAAAGAAGTCCCGGTGTTTGTGAACACTTTCGGTTTAAACAGAAATGAATTTTTGTTGGGAACGTTTGAAATATCCATTGCAGTTTCACAGAACCGCAGACAGCGAAAATAACTATCCAATCAATGGAGGAATTTAGTTTTTTATGCAATACAGCTGTACTTGTTCAATCTGAGTGGGTGTTCGGAACCACCGGCCCTCGACTCGAGTGCAATTGATTATTCATTCTTTGTATTTGTTCTTTGTTCCGTGAATTTATGGGTTTTTAAAAAGGGTTTTTGAACAATTTACTCTCTTTTCAAGGGTGCAGTGAATGTTTGCATTGGAAAGACTGCAATTGTTTTCAAAATATTTTCTTTGATGTGATTATAATTAGTACATTATTGCAGAGGCCGGAAAGTAAGGGATTGTTGGATGAGTATGAGTTACAAGGACAAACAATCCCCGTTCCCGCCGAGGTATGTATAGAACTTTTCTCAAACAATGTGATGAAATAATAAAAGACTAAAGAGAGGAAGATGTGTGTAAAAGTAATATTTGACGTGTTAGGACAATTTTACTAAAAGAAAATTTTATTGTTTTTTTCAGGCACGTTAATAGTAGCCTGCTGATCTTCAGATCACGTGTTTGTATGTGTATCTATCCTATTATACCATATTTCCGTTATCGCTCTTCTCGCTAGCACTCATTTTCGTGACCAAAATACAAAAAGACGAAAAAAATACCAAAACACATTAAATGTTATCATTTCCTTTTTTTTTGTTATTAGATTTTGTTTGTTGATAGCATTGTTATTAGATAGATTTAAAAGTTTAGAGAAGTGGACAGTAATGGGTTTTCACACTTACTGTGCAGACCTTGGTCGGGAAGAAGTCTCACGGTTTATAAATGACAAATTAATTGAAAGTAATGCAAACATTTCCGAGTATATTTGAGAAAAACATATTGTTTGATACCATAAAAAGATACGTGACTAAGCGATTTCACGCATTAACGTCTGTCACTTGATGTTATAAAAAAAACTGCATGCAATTGAAACCGACCTCATGCAGCCGAGATCGACTGCATGCAGTTAATGCGTGAAGTCGACATCAAACTGCAAATATTCAGTCAATCTGTTAGCAGTTTTAAATCCTGTAAAATTTCGATGCTGTGTCTGGCTAGAGTGTCAATATTTTTAATTATGTTGTACAGTATAAGATTTTGTATGGCCGAATAGCGTTCTCCTACGTTCTTCGATGAAATAAAACAATATGTAGTAAGGATGCACATCAAATTGTCTACCTTTAACTAACAATTTCTCTTCTTCAGAATTATCACGTTTATTATATATAATATCTGATTTAGTTTGGTAAAGTAAATAAGTAGGTTTATTATTTTGACAATATACAGGTAAGGTAAGGAAATAAAACTAGGATTTTTAAATTACATGAACAAAATTGGGTCCTCGCGGTAATTTTCAATTTTATTGTATCTTGTTACATTTATACCACCTAAGGTTTTTGTAAAACTAACAAGTGTACCTGTGTTGTCTTGAATAAAAAATATTTAATATTATTTGTTTAATAACAACTTTATGTACTATAATATTTCAAGATTAATAATAATAACGCACACATTCAACATATTGATTGGACCGGGTAAAATAATTAATTATTGAAAAATGACTTATTAAGCAATAACAAGAGTAGTTCTTTGTTCTACGGATGAGTCGAAAACTCAACCGTGGGACAGATCGACTGTTGTTCGATTTTATATTTCCAAAACGAAATAATAAATACCTAAAAACATCTGAAACACCTTTAGATAGACCTTTTGAATAACGAGATCATGTTTAATATTTTTTTCGCTGTATAATCACATCCGACTCTGTTCTTCGGATGAGTCGATTTGTGAACGTCTTGATTTCAATCTAGGGCATTACGACGACAGCCTGGCATTTGCTATAG